CCCCCCCCCCCGCCAAGTTTCTAGACCTTGTGATTGCCACACTCGGCTGAAGCCTGGAGGGGCCGCGGTGAATGAGACTCAAGGAAAAGGAGGAGAAGGCTGAACTCCGACTTCCAACTGCCACCGAGTGCAGGGAATACAAATTAGGGGAGTAGTCGCGACTCACCCACCCCGCAGCCGCCCCCTACGCCAGCCTTCCCCAACCGGGGGCCCTGCAAGCGCCCTGCGATTTCAGCCGCCAGCCCTCCGGGCCATTGGGGGAATTGTGGCCCCAACCCCACGGGCGAGCCCCATGTTTTGGAAGGCTCTCCTAGAAGGAAGCCGGCTCCCCCGGGTCACACCAAATGCAGAAAGGCCCAGCCGAGCTGTCCCGTTATCCAGGATCCTTGACACGCGCACGCTTGTGCACGTGTGGGCTTAAAGCTGGGAGCCCAGCCCGCTGCATCTCTTTGCCACGCTTTTCAGTGTGCGTGAGACCGGAGCCGCACCGCCACCTCCTGGTCAGCAGAGGAGGTGTTTTCTCGGGCACATCAATGTACTTCTGCCTGGCTCTATTAACGCCGCTGCATTTCTGACAGCAGGGAGACTCGAATGAGGCCGGGGACAGAGAGACACGCCACAGATCTAGAGCAGGTACAAGGGGGTGGAGAAGCTCGTCTTCTTTTTCCTCCAATATCCCACGCCTTTCAAACAGCCGGTGGGAGCAGAGTCCGCAAGTAAAGAAGGCTGTGCCCGAAATCAGACAGCGCTGCCAATTAATTTCCTTGTGGGAACTGAGTTCAAATCTTCAGAGAGATGGAAGGAGATTTTCTTTTTTTTCTTCAAGCCATGTGGGTGGGGGAAATCATTGCCAGGAGACCTTTAACGCAATGAATCAATTGGTTTTTCCTTGTCTCCGGTCATCTCAGTGGGGTGGCACCGAATCCTCCCCTGACAAAACTGGGGGGAAGAGCTCTGTGGACCCACCCCCTTTTCTGAGACAACCCAGTTCTCTGGTGTCAGCCATTTAATTGGTGAAGCAATGACCCCTGAGCCCCTCATGAAAACACTTGATGATTTTGGGGGGGGGAGCAATTTTATCTGTCAGCAGTAATTAACACAGTAATGAACATGAACGCAACTGTTGGCTCCATTAATTTCCCGCTGCTTGTCTTCCAGCCCTCACGGCTCCGTGGGGAACACCGGGGTTGTGCAAAAGCGTTCCCTCCGTGTCACTTGTTGCTGCGGACCCTCACCTTGCTAGAGGCTGGGCGGTGGGTGGGGAGGTGGGTGACAAAAGGGAGGATCTCTCATGGCCCTGGACAGACAGACTTCTGCTAAGGCTCCTTTCAAAGTCTGGGGGACAAAAGTTCTTTCAGTTACCCACCCGTGGTAGAAAACACCTGATTTTTTTAAAGCGGAGAGAGTCTTGTGGGAAGCAAGATTTGGCAAAGACACCAAAACTATCCCTGAAAGTCTCTGAAAACCCATTCCTCAGATAGCCCCCTCAGAACTGACAATTGACGGGGTAGATAATTTCTGCCTTTTAGGATCAACCAACAAGAGAAAAGGAAGAAGCAGTCAAGAAATATGCTGCAGACTGGCACTTGGTAGAACAGCCATGAAGGCCTTGGAAAGAGATTCAGATGCCGTGATGCTGTGTAGATACCTACAAGGATCAGAATCATACAAGCCATGGACCTTCTGTGGAAGCTGGACCTTGAAGAAGCAGGATAGCAAGAGTATTGAGACTTTTGAACTTGGCGTTGGAGAAGACTCCTGAGGATACCGTGGACAGCCAAGAAAACAAATGGACCATCAAACAAATCAGCCCAGAGTTCTCACTCGAAGCACAAATGACCAGGCTCAAATTGTCCTGCTGTGGACACATGATATGAAGACCCAGCTCTCCGGAGGAGGCTCTGATGCTGGGAAAGGTGGACGGAAAGAGGAGAGGAGGACAACCAGCAGCAAGATGAAGGGACTCAGTGACGGCAGTGAGAGGGGCAGGGTTGGAAGAGCTGAAGGACCCAGCTCCTTGAGAAACCCATCATGAAGGAGGACGGGACGACCAACGCCAACGTGGAGGGACTCAGTGACAGCGGCGATGGGGGCACCGCTGGAAGACCGGAAGGACCAGGCTGGGGACGGATCCTCCTGGAGAAGTTCTATCTATGTGGTCGCTAAGAGTCAACGCCGACTTGATGGCATGCAATCAATCAAATAATAGCAAGCAACCACGGCTCCTGATCTGAAAATCCCTTCCAGATTTGAAACATGTACAGGGAGCATCTGAGGTCTCACTGAATCCAAGCGTCTCTTCCCAATCAGATGCCACTGGGCAGCCTCCAAGTGGGATCCAAGCATTGCCACGTTGTGACAGTCAAGGGCATCTGCAGAGTACTGTCTAAAAGTCAAGATGTGGCCACGATGGTGCGAATGAGCCTCTCTCTGTTTTTATGTGCTTCCCATGCAAAACCAGGTGGTGCTTTGGTCGCACTGTCACAGCTACCACCTTGATTTTTTTGAGCATATCTTGGATATGATATAGGAGTGTCTGCAGAGAGGCCGTCAAAAATTCAAGATGGTGGCCACCGCCGTGCGGTCGACAGGGCTTTGATCACATGATTATGGCCCCAATATTGACTGTTCTGACCTCCTTGCAGATACCCTGGACGGATGCTTTGAAACAATCTATTGCTCTGGTTTTTAGGGAGCTTCTCTGTGTCCTACAGTATCAGAGGCAGTAGATATCCATGGCGGGGGGCTATTGGAAGGGTACCCTTGCTTGCCTTTGGGCATCCAATAGGTCATGTCTGCACATTTCTAGCCTGGATGAAAAAGGGGTCAGGCAATCCACAACAAGGAAATTATTTCTCTTTCAAAAATCTACAAGAAGATGCGGGCTGGGGTGGAGAACCCCCCCCCTCATGCCACCCCACAAAGGATCATACAGGAAAGCTGTGGTTCAAGGAGAAGCCACAAACAGCTTCCACCACCTCTATAACGATTGGGGGGGGGCTTCTCCCCTTTGTGCAAAGAGAAGGAGAAAGTTTCCTGCCCACCATCTGTTCACCCAATATTCGCACACAGCCCCCAATCCTGCATGAGCCGGTGACACACCAATGGCCAAATCTAATTGCTTCCAAATAAATCTGCATTAGCCCCAGGAAAGCGGCCCTCGGGCTGGAGGAGGGGGCCGGCGACACCAGGAGCAAGGGAAGAAATCTTTCAGAAGGGAACCACCTGGCCAAGCCGCCAAACCAGGTTAAAGCCTCGGTTCCCCTCTGCGCCGAGGCCGGATCAGAAGTCTCTAATTCAATTGGTCCCCTCGCCCGCCTCCCCCTCCTGGCTCTTTAACATCTGCACTGACCGCTGGCAAATTAGGTTCCCTTGGAGGGCTGGGTCCCTGTGAAAACCACCACGACTTGCCCAGCAAAGGCCAAAGCTGTTTCCGGAATGCCAGTTTTCTTGGCATGAGCTGTGAGAGAGGGAGAGAGATGCTTAGTGGACGTTGAAGGATCTGTGGCCGGCCTCAACTGCCCACTGGAGCTGT